AAGGAACCAGAATGAGCTAAAAGGTCCCCCTCAGCATGCACTCCCCCGTGTTATTAAAACACTTAGTCTTTACAACCCAGAAAATTAAAAACCCTCCACCGGACCGTCCACATCAGTATTCATGACATCTGTCTTTTCCTATGAAACGCGCTGAATGAAACCTCCCCTGGAAAGCGGCCCCTCCCCGCGCCCTCCCCCTCCTGCAAAACAGATTGCGAGACAGACGATTGCATTGTTTGCTCGAATTTCCATCTGAAAACTGCCCTCACGCAGGCGCTGGGCGCCCCTATTAAGGTCCGGCGCCACGAGGCCACGTGGGGTGGCAGCGCCTCTGTCCCCCTCCCCGGGGCCCTTGCGTCGGAAGAGGAAAAAGAGGCGGACGGACAAAGGTCCCGGACATAAATGGAGCCCCGGCTTTTTAAGTTCACGCTGAAGTTTCTTTATTTCTGCACAGCTGTTCGGGGAGCCGCAGAGGCCCAGTAGCGCATGTTTAATGCGCTGGAAGGAGGCGGGCAGCAGAGCGGCCAGGGTGCCGGCCGCCGCCCTGCACGGGCACATTATTTCGGGCCAGTGAACGCCGAGCAAGTCAAGTGTGGAAACATGGACGGGGGCCAGGGCCCCCCGCCCTGGCTGTCATATCTGAAAGCCCGCTTGTCATCGGCAGCCGGGGCGGGAGGGGCCCACGTCTTGGGGAGCCCGAGAACCACCGCCAAGTGGGCCCGTGGCTCGGCCCCGCTGCTCAGCCCGGACCCTCGGCCGGGGCGAGGACCGCTGTCCGGCCCAGCCGCGCCTTCCCTGGCCCGCAGGGGCCAGCGAGGCGGGGAGAGGCCCCGGCCTGGGCCGCTGGCCGCGTCCAGCGTGGGAGGGTCTCCTTTCCCTGGCCACAGGGACACCCGGCCCGCCCCAGCCCCGCGGGAGGGAAGGCCACAGACAGCCCGCCCCTCGCCTCACTCCTAAGGCCGGGGCCCAGGGCCACCCCGTCCACGTCCCCGCGCAGGGCTGGCGCTCGCCCTCCTGGCCATTTCCCCAGCACAGACTGACCCCCAACAACACGGCCAAGTCCTTCGTGGAGGCCAAAGGTGAGAGGTGGCCGCCAGCACCCACACGCACAAGGCTTTGCGGGGGCGGCCGGTGGCAGATCAGCTGAAGGAAGCGGGCAGGGGCTGGGCCAGGCTGACCCCCGCGGGGCCGGGTGGCCCACCTTCCCTCCCTGGTCCCCACGCCTGGGCCCTCCAGGGACCCCTCCCACTCTGCTGTCGGCTGGCCCCCTGTGAGCCCCACCCCAGTCAGACGCAGCGGCACCCCCAGCACCCACAGAACAGACCCCTCTCCCCGCCGGGGAGCCAAGGCGTCCCCTGACTTTCGAGGAGACCCCTGCCTGGTCCCAGCCTTCCCTCCGAGGCCCAGCAGGCCGTCCCGCTGCCCGAGGGACCCCTGCCCCGGCTCTGGGCCTGAACAAGTCTGCCTCTGGGCCTGTTTCCCCATCAGTGAGGCGGCCGGCTGCCCGGCGCTGCCCGCCCGGCCCACGAGCCATGCCTGTGGCTCCCAATGGGCACAGCGGAGGCCCCCGGGAACCTGCCACGTGCTGGAGCCGCACCAGCCGGTGAGCCCGGCCCGCGGCTGAGGCCAGACCCCGGCCTGGCTCCCCGTGTCCCCGCTGCCTCTCCCGGGCCCCCAGCCTGTGCAGGGGCTGTTTCTAATGTGCAGAAGACTGCCCTGCGATTCCAAACCAGCAGACCCCAGTGGCCCTTGCCGCTGACTGGGGTCAGTTCCCACAGGGTTTGGGGTCACGGTGGGTGCACTCCACCTTCACATATGAATGGGGTCTGTGGACTCAGATACCCCACCTGCAAATAAATGATCTGCAGCCTCCCCACCCCCATGGGTTCCCATGAGTGGTTCTTCCTCAAGGTTCCCTGAGGGAGCCCGCGTAGATCAAGCCTGTCCAGTCCTGGCCACAGATGCTGACCCAGAGCCTCCCCCACATGGGCCACTTAAACGTTTACATTCACAGGCCAGCTAGACATGTGGTAGTGCCTCCGTGGTAGTGCCTCCGTGGGCGGGCCTCCGTGGGCTGGCATCCGTGGGCGGGCCTCCGTGGGCGGGCCTCCGTGGGCGGGCCTCCGTGGGCGGGGCCTCTGTAGACCAGGCCTTTGAATAGCCACACGGGGTCCACGAGCCGTGTTCACGCGGCCGAGCCTCCTCCTTGCTGGGCCCACGGTGTTCTGCAGTGACGACCAGGAACGTCTCTGTTCCAGCCTGCGACTGCCGGCCCAGGGGGTGGCTGCTGAGCGGCGTGAAGAGCTTCTGCTACACCAACTGTGGTCCTACCAGGATAGCAAAAAGATTTTGATTAAATTAAAACAGGAAACCATTTGAAAGGCACAGTGCTGGGGTGACAGTGAGTTGCCGAACAGTTGGTTTCTCCCACCGGCTCCACTCCAAGTTCAGTTACTTTTCTTGTTTTTATTTCACCCTTTTCATGTCAATAACAATGAAATTCTCGGTATTTTTTGCTGTTGCGATGAGCTAATGTGTGGGCTGAAATTTTTCAAACGGTGACTTTGCAGCGCGAAACCCAAGTGCAGTGGGTGAAGCGCTCACTGAGGACGGGCTGTCTGCAGGGCAGCAGGGTCCGGAAGAGGGGTCCGCCGCCCGTGGGCCCCGCGTGGCCTCACCTCGCCTCTGTTCAGGCGCCCCTCGGACCCGCCCCGGCGAGCCTAGCCCGGCACCCGGGCCCCTGGCCGAGCCCGAAGCCCGGGGGCTTGGGGCACAGCTGTGCGGCAGGGCTGGTCTCCAGGGAGGGGCGGGTGCCCGCGGGGGCTGGGCCGGGGCTGGGCTGCCGTGTCCTTACTGGAAGGCCACGCGGCACACGCCCGGGTCCCTGGGCACAGGGTCTCTGCAGAGGCGGGCTCTGGCTTCCCCAGCTCTCACCCTCCCAGCGCCCGCTCCAGAGCGCCCACCTCGCCCAGCCCAGGGAAGGGCGTGCCCTGCCAGCCAGGCATTCCCTGGGAGTCTGTCTGGCCGGAAACCGACACTCGGCTGGGTGCTGAGGGGGACAGCGATTGCTTTTCTGAAGGACATTTTAGGGCCACGGCAGGTCTGGGCTGGGGCGGGGGAGGCTGAATGGGGCCAGCAAGACCAGCTTCCTGGGCCTTTCGAGGAGCACGA